ACACACACACACGCCTCCCCTGCCAGGCTCCCCGTGGTCCATGTCGGCGGAAAGGCGACCCCTCCAGCCTCTGTCTGATGAGCCTACACCCTTCTCTCTTGCTCTCCACCCCGCTCTCTGCCCAGGTGGGTTTTCTTGCACGAGAAGGCGTACCAGGTGCGGGACACATCCATTGAGTCCTCCGTGGTAACCAAGGTGAAGGGCTTTGGACGCTACGCCAACAGAGTCATGGATGTGTCTGACTATGTGACACCACCCCAGGTATGGCCCCCCTACGGCCGGTGGCTGTGTCGACGCCCAGACCTGGGCAGGTTGGCGAGGAGACCCTGTGCCTCAGTGACCCAGAGCAGTGGCTGGAGGAGGGGGGTTACCCTCCTGAGTCAGCATTGGGCATCCTCTTGTTCTGCCACAACCTGTCCTGTGACCAGGAGGACACACAGAGGGAGCGTGAGGGGCCAGGGGGTGTTGGAAGAGCCCGGTTTTGGAGCCCATGTCTGCCTTTATTGACCTGTGACCTTGGCCCAATCAGCAAGAGCCCCGGTTTCCCCCTCTGTAGAGTGGGGATAACAAGAGTCCCCGCCTCACGAACTGGCACTGTTGCATTTTCCTCTCCTTCTTCTCCCAAGGGCACCTCCGTCTTTGTCATCATCACCAAGATGATCGTCACTGAAAACCAGATGCAAGGGTTCTGCCCAGAGGTGAGGTGGGGGAGGGAGGTTGGGTGAAGCTGGTCAAGGAAGAAGCCGCTGGAGGGGAGTGGTGGCAGGGAGGGGCGTGGGTGTAAGCAGAGGTCCTAGGTCCAGCCTAGGACCTCCCCCCCGCCAGAGGCCCCCGGCTGTGGGGAGGCAGTGGGCACCAAGGGGCTCACCCAGGCGGGCCCGGGTCCCTTCACCCACCCGTGGACCTGTCTCCCCTCAGAGCGAGGACAAGTACCGCTGTGTATCAGACAGCCAGTGCGGGCCCGAGCGCTTCCCAAGTGGGGGTGAGTGGAGCCCTTCCCCACCCCCTCACAACCCCAATGGTATGGGACCCCAGAGGAGTTCCCAGTCCAGGGGTGGGGGTGACAACCGTGCCATGAGGTGGTGAGTGATGTCAAGGAGGGGCCAGGGGAAGGAAGAGATGGGTCCCAAATGGCTTCCTAGAGGCGGGGACATTTGAGATGGGTCCTGTGGGACGGAAGGATTTGGCAGGACAGAGGGGCTTAAAAGGGGGCATTCTAGGCAGAAAGAACAGTCAGCAGAGCCTCGGAGGCAAGGAGCAGCCTGCTGTGGCTGGGGGCCTGGGACCTGTGAGAGGAGAGGTCATCTCCCGAGGCTTGCCTAGGGCTGGGAGGGTCAGGGAGAGCTCTGCGGGGCCAACATGCCACCGGGGACCTCCCTTGTCCTGCCTGTTTTTTCTTTCCGCCTGCAGGATTCTTACGTGTGTGTGTGTGTGTGTGTGTGTTGTGTGTGTGTGTGTGTGTGTATTTTGGGGGGTCTCCAATGAAGAGGGGTGGGGTGAAGTGGGGGAAGGGCATGGCAAAGGGCCAGACAGGCACACAGCACTGTCCCCACCCTCCCAGGGATCCTCACCGGCCGCTGCGTGAATTACAGCTCCGAGCTCCGCACCTGTGAGATCCAGGGCTGGTGCCCTGCCGAGGTGGACACGGTGGAAACGTGAGGGCCTGCGCCCAGCGGGAAGAGAGCCCCTACCCAGGCGCCCCTGGACCACTGTGGAGGGCCCCCCACCCCCGGCACCTCTGAGCTTGCAGGGGGTCTTGTGGGCACCCACCCGCTGTGTGTCCAGCTTCCTCCCAGCTCGGCTCACCTGCCGCTCCCGTCCTCTGACCCTCAGACCGGAGAGGCCCGGGCCACATGCCCGCTGGGCGGTGTCCACCAGGGAGGGTGGCCCCCGGTGGGGGCTCCCTGCTCCCCTCCCCCTTCCTTCTCTGCTCACACAGGCCGGTCATGATGGAAGCCGAGAACTTCACTATTTTCATCAAGAACAGCATCCGTTTCCCCCTCTTCAACTTTGAGAAGTGAGTCCTCGCTCCTCCCTGAAGCCCAGAGGCAGTGCTCCCACCCTGTTCTCAGAGGGGAGGCGATGCCGGTCACCACGGGGTTCTCCCCACTGTCTCCCGGACTCCTGGGGGCTCCTGACCCCCATCTCCCAGCCAGGTCTCCCCGCCAGCCCTGACCACTGAGTCTCAGGTGGACTCGGGCCAGTGTCTCTGCCAGCCCCCCACCCCCACCCCGGCCTGGGAAAGGGACCTTAGACACGAGCACTCACGACCCTGAGATGGGAGAGAGGGTGACAGGAGAACGATGCAGGGACAGCGGTGAGGCCCCTGCCTGGGCGCGCGGAAGGGCCTGGGGGCTCGGGCAGGCTGGAGAGAAGCTTGTGGAGGGAGGCCTGTCTCCACCTTGACCCTGGGCCTGGCCTCTCTCCTTCCCTCCTCCCTTCCCAGGGGAAACCTCCTGCCCAATCTGACTGCCGCCGACCTGAAGACCTGCCGCTTCCACCCTGACCAGGCCCCCTTCTGCCCCATCCTGCGGGTGGGGGATGTGGTCAAGTTCGCGGGGCAGGATTTTGCCAAACTGGCCAGCACGGTGAGGACCTGGGGACCCTCGGGCGGGCGGGGATGCTGGGCCAGCGGAGCAGCGGCGAGGCAGCGACCCTGGTGGAAGCACCCCAGTCCTGCCACCTGTCCTGGGGGGTCCTGCCCCCTCACCCTTCCCCCCAAGGCCCGTTTCCCATTCCCGTCTTCACACATCACCTGCACACAGAGAGGCCTGGGGCTCTGGACATGGCATCGGTGCCACTTCCTCCCGTGTTGTAGGTGAGGGGCTGACCACACCAAAAGCAGGATTCACCTCCCCCCGCCCCCGCCCCACCGGGCTCACCCTGAGCTGCGGTACTTCCCTCCTCAGCAACACCAATGACACCTCCCTCTTCTTTCTTGCCACCTGCGCCCTCCACCTGAGCATGCAGGGCACTCACGTGTCTATTGGTGATGCTCCCCACCCCCACCCCGATGAGGGGCACCTGAGGACTGCGGGAGGCTCACGCCTGCCCCCTTTCTGCAGGGCGGGGTTCTGGGCATTAAGATTGGCTGGGTGTGCGACCTGGACAAGGCCTGGGAGCAGTGCATCCCCAAATACTCCTTCACCCGGCTGGACAGCGTTTCTGAGAAGAGCAGCGTCTCCCCGGGCTACAACTTCAGGTAATCGGGGGCATCAGGGCCAAGAGGCAAGGGCGTTCTAAAAACTGCATCCGGCCCTCACCGGTTTGGGTCAATGGATAGAGCCTTGGCCTGCGGACTCAAGGGTCCCAGGTTCGATTCCAGTCAAGGGCATGTACCTTGGTTGCGGGCACATCCCCAGTGGGGGGTGTGCAGGGGGCAGCTGATCGATGTTTCTCTCTCATTGATGTTTCTAACTCCCTATTCCTCTCCCTTCCTCTCTGTAAAAAAAAAAAAAAAAATCGGTGAAATATGTTAAAAAACAAACAAACTGCATCTGAAGAAACAACGCGTATTGGCAGGAAAAGGGCCCATGTTCCCCCATCAGGTTTCTGTTCAAAATGAGGCAGGACTTTCCAACGGGCAGCTGTCGGAGACAGCCAGGCCCTCCGGGAGATCATGGCTCCGCCGCAGGCAGGATTCGGCCGGCGGTGAGCAGTGAGGCCAGATGGCAGGGTCTCCTGAGTGCTGGGCTCTGTGATGCTGAGTTTGTTTTTCCGCTCTGGCTCTGAGGCCGGAAGGTGCGAGGCCACGCCCGGGCAGCCCATCCCTTCTTCTGCGCCTACGTTTCCTAAGGGTTCTCGCTCCGCAGAGCAAGGGCAACAGCTGGTATCATCTTCCAAGATGGGAATTCTATATTTCTGTCCAGAAGCAGGAAATGTCACTGGAGCCACAAGTAGCAGTTACAGTGGGCTTCCGTTCTTCAGGGCCTTTCGAACAGGAACTCAGGCCAGTCTCTAGTAGCATCTCATTGATATCCCCAAAGGCCTGGAGACACAAGAGGCCCCCCTCCCACTTTGCAGACAGGGAATGAGAAGAACCCGGGAGAAGCTCCTGGGAACCAGCTGAAAACCCTTAAGCAAGCCCTTGACCTTCTCCCCCTCCCCCTCCTTTCCCATCCGTGAAAGGGCAATGGTATCATTATCTCCAGGATCCGATCAGCCAGTGTCTGAAAAGCTTTAGCTCTCTGTTCTGTTTTTCCCTTAATTTTTGAAGATCCTGACGTTTCTGGCAGGGCCCTCAGGACTCTGTGTTATACACCGAACAGGCTAATTAGCTAAGTAGGCAGTGATCAGGGGAAAATCCCTATAAGAACATACCACATCTATATGTTCAAGGAATTGCTACTCAAATCTCCTTTGTTATAGTGGTATTTCACAATATAATGACATACATAAGCCAAAAAAAATCATTTCACCTTTTTTTTTTTTACCTTTATCTGTAGCCTGAAAAGGTAATTATCCATTCCATTAAGCTTTATCTCTAATCGTTTAACATATGCATGTGTAATCTCTGGAAAGAAGAATGTTTTTTAAAAAAAAAAAATTGAAAGTGCTTTCATAATCAACTCCCAACTTTAAAAAATCATAGGAAACAACACATATTTTAAAGTAGTTTAAAAATACTGTTTGGCTCCCTCGCAGAAATTGGCATATTTATTCAGTCGGGTACATCACACTGAAATCAATACAAAGGATTTCATATGATAGCTTAAAATAGAAACATATTAATAAAATTCTCATGATCTAAACTGCAACTTTTCATCTTCGTAACTTCCCCCTGGCCACTGGGAATTCTTCAATCCTGCAAATAACTTATTTGGCAGGAAAGCTTAGGAAGGGAATAACTATTGGGAAGACCCCAGCTAGTGGTGTCACACAGCTTTAGGTCAATGTCTTTCATTTAAAGAATTGGTTTGGAGTTCGTTGTCTCCAATGTAGTGTGCCATGGTACACAGACACACACACACACACACACACACACACACACACACACACTCACACACTCACGAATGCACACACACCTCTCCTAGGCACAGCAGGACGGGAGGCAGACGGGTCCTACGTAAGCTTGTCTTTGGAGAGACAGGTCAGAGATCTCTAAGGATCCTGAGAATATAAATCCCTGGGGGCCTAGGGGAATCGTCTGAGGGGTGTGACCTCCACACCAAGACCTCCAGCCAGAATATGAGGGGGTGAAGCTGCCCAATTTGATCCTGTGGTTTAAAAGACTTCCCAGAGGAATAGCGCTGGTGTGGGGAGTATCTGATGGCCTTAGCGATCAGAGGGCTCTGCCCAAGCTCCCTGAAGTCACTCCCTTGGGTGTCTACCCACTCACCTTCATGCTGTCTTCGAGCTACATGGACACCCAAGGCTAAGCTAGGAGCCCACATAGGGCCTCCTTTCTGAATCCTGAGAGGGAGGAAAAGGGCCACAGCCAGGATCAGCATGGGCACAGGGCAGTTCCTGGGATGGGTACAAAGTATGCTGCTCCTGAGAATCCCACAAGCTCCCTGTAGGTAGGCACGATACTGGGCACCGTGTGCAAAGTGTCTGTGCCCTTTGGTTCGTTGTTCCCCATCCCCACTCTCCACAGGGAGGCGCTACAATCCCCCCTCTTCATAGGAGAGAAAAGTGAGGCGTGCAGACTTAACTATGTTTCCCAATGTCACAGAGCCAGTAAGCGTGGGAGCCTGCATGCAGACATATTTTCTTGAATGATGTCCACCCCAACCAGGAAGGCTAGGGACATGGGCATGTGTCAATCCTCAGAAACGTACGCCTATGTGCTCGTGGGCGAGTGACTAGCTTCTGGGGGGCGGCCACAGGACACAGCCTGGCCTTTTGTCTCCCAAACAAATTCCTCTGCCTCTCTGACAGGGGCCAGGTTTTTGTCAGCGTCTTGCCATCCTGTCCTACAGTTTGTTGCCTTTTGCTCTGGAGGGAATGGAATCCTTCAGCCAAGATCCAGCCTTGTTTAATATGCAAACTCAGACATCCAGAGGCAGCTAGAGACTTGCATTTCCATCACTAATTACTTCTGCGGCTCCTTTCCAAACCCCACCCCCATTTTTGGAGGCTCTCCGCCTGCAGAATCCGAGATTTAGAGAAGTTCTAGCTGTTGAGAACCCCTAGGAGACATCTAGACGGAGAGGCGGTCATTCTACAGATGAGGAAGTAGAAACTTCAAAGGGGCAGTGATGTGCCCAAGGTCACGGGTGCATCTTAGAGTAGCCTGAGAAGCCATTTGCTCCCAGTGCCTACATCCGTCTCTCTGCAAAGCAGCCCTAGACAAGGGACCACTTCACAAGATGGCCTGTCCGTCATCGGATGGCCTCCCATTCTTGTCAAGATGACCTTGTATTGAGCCAAAATGTGTCTCCCTTCAACCCCCACCCAAAGTACCTGGCGCTGTCCATCGAAGCTTACCTTCGTTTATGTGATCTGAAGGTTTCCGTCTGTCCCTACCGCCCTAAAATTTGCTGGAAAGATTTTATTTTACTCCGAAGTCTATTCTGCATGGCTAAAGACTCCAGGGGCTGCTTTAGCTTATTTGTGGGTGTGGTTTTTTTTTTTAACTTGGTATTTTTAAGAAGCCTCTTTCCAAGTACCTTGAGAGTGTGCAGTTGGTGCGTTCGTCTGGCTTAGCAGTGGGTAAAGGGCAGCATTTTTGAAAATAAGAACTGGCCAGAGTCACCAGTTCAATGGTACGAGGGTGACAGGCACCCCAGTGTTAGTCTTCCTGCAGGGGTCAGTTCCTGCCACACAGAGGGGGCCCTCAGTTTACCAGAGCACTCCACTCCCACGGGCGCGGGCACTGCCGTGTGTGAGTATTGCGTGTGAGTTTGGGAGTGAGGGTGAGAGTCTGTGGGTGAGTGAGTGTGAGTGTGGGTATGTGTCTGTGAGTGACTGAATGCGTGCGTGCGTGTGTGCGCGTGCCTGAGTGTGTCAGTGAATAGATGTGTGTGGGTGTGAGTGTATAGGCAGAGATGGTACAAAGACAAATTAAAAATACTGTATCAGTCAGGGTCCCAGCAGGAAACAGATGGCACATGCAAATTGGGTAATTTGAGGAGAGTTTAATACAGGGAGTGCTGCTGGGAGGGTGCAGGGACACCACAAAGGATCCTGCGGTGCCTGGGGCCCGGTCTGAAGGGGCGAGGGCAGGAAGCCATTCCTGGAACCCGGAGACAGAGACAGGACACCACAGCCTGAGAACTATGACTCAGCCACGCCCCCTCAGCAGCTAGAAGCCAGGCAGCCTAGGGCAGGGTGGGGAGGGGAGGGAGGAGCACTGGTGTCCGGTACCAGGCCTACCAACTTTCCTGCGTGAAATCACAGCCTCACAGCCGTTTGTTAACATTTGGAGGTCGCTAACTCTGTTACACCCCTGAGGAAAGCTAACTCTGTTACACCCCTGAGGAAAGCGGCACTCATCATTGATTGTCCAAGGAAAAGTCATGTATGCATAGCCTTGAGCAACGTTGCAGGCACTTTCTTTGGTTAAAGGATGCTTTATTTCTACAAATAGGATGTAAATGCACCCTCAGAGTGAGAACCCTAAGACAAATGGGCAGATACAGTAATGGCCTGGAAACTGGCTGCACTGCTGGCTGCTCCCTTGCAGGAAATCAGCATCCCACACAGTGTGGTCCGTTTCCTCCTCTGCATATTTATTTAATGTTTCTTTACGTGGCATAGAATTCCGAGACTTTGAAGACCTCTGAAAGCCTCTCCCTGGACCTCAGGTTAAGGGCCCCTCGCGCCCTTTCACACCTATTTTTGACAGGATTGATAGCTTTATCGCCCACCCCGCCCACACCCCTCCGTTGGCAGAGAGAGATTTGGAAACTTGCCCAAGACTGCAGAGCCTAATTAAGAGGTTCATCAGGGCTCAGACCCAGGAACCTGTCCTATAGCCGTTGCTTCTAGCAAACCTCCCGCCATCATATCACTAGCAAAGAAAAAAAAGAGGCAGCTCGAGCACCACATAAACCCGGTGCTGACTGCTGGGAGGAGGAGAGAGAAGCAACACGGTGCGCTCAGCAGTGTCGGACCCCTGGTGCTCCTGAGGGTCCCTGGGACAGCGTTGCTCCTAAAAGGCGCCGCCGTCTTGGCTCCCCACCCCTGGTGTCTGCTAGCGCTCAGCTGCTCGCCGCGCCTCGTGCTGGCGGAGCTTGTGGTGAGTGTTCCATGTTGGAA